ATATCAATTCGCGGCTTTTGAGAATCGATATCGAATCGACGTCATTTTAAAAAACGTCATTTTTTTTTTGCCCAGCTCTATTTCCCAACCACGCGCCGAGTGCTGCCAATCACCACACACACTGGCCCAGCTAACCAATCACAGCACATTTCGTATTTCAGAAGGTGGGCCTTCATTTGATACAGGAACTATTCGAGCCGTTCATGCCAGACTGGGGAGAGAGGTGTTGTAATAATGTAAAATATGTGAAAAATAATGTGTTTTTCGAACAACCTAGTATGAGAGCGTGTTCTAGTACACCCCCAAAACAAAATCAAGACTTTGTAAAAGAGCATAATAGGACCCCTTTAAATTCTCAATTAAAGCTCCCGAGAGAGACAGTCAGAAGGGAGAACCACATGCAGAGGCTGGCTAATTTTTAATTTTGACAAGAGCAAGCTTCACACACTAATTGCTGAGGGTTTTCTCTGTCTCTCTAACTCAGTTCAAGAGTCACAATGCTTGCTTTGACAGCTAGTATTCACAGAACTTCCAGTAAAACAGAAAAGTTTGACTGCACTGGGTTAAGTTTAATATGCAGTTTACACAGTTTTTGAGATATGGTTCTTTTGAGATGAATGGCCACATTTGATAGCAAACAGTAGCCTTGAAATGACTTTTACACAATTGCATAATAAATGCTTTTAAAGTGAAACCTGCTGCATACTGTGTCATCAAAGAACAAAAGAAAAAGAGACATCACTCTCTGCTCTTTGCTGATTAATTTTGTAGCTGGAATAAAACTGAATCTATATTCAATTTACAGCTTATGTGAAGATTGTTTTAAATTCACTTAAATTAAAAGTTATTATATTTTTCAAAGCCCATTAAATGTAAAAAAATAATGGCTTTCAATTATTCTGTAATTTTGAATGGCTATTAATGTCTAAAATTGAGGGGGAAATGCATTTATAAAGACATCAGTAGCAGTATTGGCTACTTAGTAAAAATGTGCTATTAAACATGTATTTAAAATACCGGTATACAATCTCCATGTTGTTTCTACATTAATTTGGAGATTCAATATGAAATTATTACAATATAAATATGCAATTAATCATGATTAATTACAGAAAAATGTGTGATTAATTAGTTTTTTTTAATCGGTTTACTGCACTAATTTAAATACACAAGTTTGAATAAAATCTAAATTAAAGTATAATTTAGTTTACCGAAATTTTTGTGAGCACATTGCAGGATATTTTGGGCAAATTTCATTATATCAAAGTCATTATGAAATTGCATAAAAAGATGCATTTAAGCATCTATTATTTTTAATAGATATTGCATTTAATAAATTTAAACTACTACATTTTTATTTAATAGTATTTAACATTTAAGAAACATTTAACATTTAAGTATCTGAAAACATTACGTTTACACACTTAAGTATATTCTTTTGAAGTATATTTAAAGTACTCCTTTTTATGTATAACATGTTCTTCTTTTTTCACAAGAGACGTTTTATGACCTTTTAAAACAGCATATAACAACACTACTTGTATTATTTCTACAGTTTGCAGAGCGTATTGTGCACAGTATGCATATTTTTTGCATGGAATACTATATATAGGTGGGTCCTATTTCACATACCTTTGCACTATTATATACCATTTGCACTATTATACAGTAGTAGCAAAGGCGTAGTACCTGGATTATGTATTTCTTCAATGGGGGGAAAAAGTGTGAAATGTTGGACACCCTAAAGTAGTGTTGCTAAATGTGCTAAAGCTACCAGCAAAACATGAGGTGCATTTGAAAATCTTTTCCTGCAGATGGAAAAAGGCAACTGCTTTTGTCTAGTAAAAAATTAAGTTCTCCATTTGGTATGACACTACCCTCTAAAATGTATAATCTCTAACCCACAATACAATGCACTCTACTTGACCTTCCATTTTCAATGTAATGAATGAACTGTAAGCAATAGCCTACTAGCTGAGATTATTGTTTTTGGCTCATTATTTTTTTGGACAGCATTTTTAAATTGGATTAAAATGCAAAACTCTCCCCGTTGATAATAGGATGCCAATCACTGCACTAACCATACAGCATAATGAGGTCATGTGACAACAATGTAGCATACAAATGCCATGTAGCATTTATTTTCATTGTGTAATGTGTACTGTTTTACACACTATTATTCAGATAGAGGTTAAAGGTCAGAGGTCATACAGTGAGTATGTACAATGCTAAACATGATTTTAATAGCCTGATTGTTTTTGTTTTGTTTTGTTTTTAGGTGAGGAATTTTATGAGCCATCTCCTTACGAACCCATGACGCCTCACCGACATTCAGATGCATTTCGCCTGGCGTCGATCATCTCAGGTAAACACCAACATTTTCATTACGATCTATTTTTGTATTATGTATACATTCTTGCAATGCACTGCACTGTTTGTTGTTGATATTGGCTTCTTTTTCATTGCCCTCTCTTATATTAAACTCAGAGAATCCAGCACTAAATGAATTATTATTATGTTCCAAGACCAGTAAAAGAAGTTTCTTTTCTCTAATTTTTGCTTTTAGCTCATTCCAAACTATGTACAAGGTGAAATGAAGATAAATTAGTCTTTTTCCTTTCTAGGAAAAAGAAACAGGAGCAAGTGATTATTCCAGTAAAATAAAAACCACTCTCTGCATTTGTCACCTTGGCATGAGTTAAGTTTAATGTTTAATTCACTGACAGCAGTCATTACAGACAGTAGAGGACAGAAATATTGCCTCCAATCCATTATCAGAACCTCTCAGAGCCTGGAACAACCAAAATAACTCATTTTTATTCAGATTTGAAACAATTAAAAAATAAAAATGGCCAGTGAATGACAAATCTCATGTGCACTACAGAAAACAGTGCATTCAACAGGGTTGTCAGATCAATCGTCTTGCCAATTTGTTGCATAATACCATTTTTGTGTCTTGAAAGGCCTGCTGTGAGTAGCAGCTGAGGTTTAGAGTTTGCATATTTTCCTTCTTTCTTTATACAAAATAAAAACATCGCAGCTGGGAAATGTGGACACACAAACAGCCTCCATTATCTGCTGGTGTAAACATTAGGTGATCGTGTAATTCCACTAAGAGGTGAGTTAAGTAGCATTTAATGTCTTTGTTGCATGATTGTATGTATTGTTATGGTTATCACATCTTCAATTGATTAAATATGACAACATAAAAGGGGAAAATTAATTTTGGATAAATTAAAGACTGATTTAATGGGATAGTTCACCCAAAAGTGAACATTCTATTATCATTTACTCACCGTCACGCTTTTCCAAACCATTTTTGGATGAACTATTTCTTCATATCAAATCAAGACAGTGATCCAAAGGCTGTAATGTTTCTCTGTAATGAAACCTTTAAAATCCTTTCAAAAAAAAAGGAGGCCCGAGATACATCTCATTGCGTTTCACTCACAGCCCTCTCAGATTGAGATGGCACCTTTTGATTTGATGTGACAGCCCAAGTCATTATTCCAGACCAGCTGTGTCTGTTCATTTACTACAGAGGGTGAGAGGAACAAGTGGACCACAGCACTAACACTGACATATTGAGGGTAAAGCTGGCGGACCCTCTCAGCCCGTATCCACTCCCTGGCGGGAATCTCTCCCAATCTGGAAGTGGAACAGCCCTGTGTGCCATATTTAGGATCAGGCAACATTAATTGCCATCCCTTTGTGGTTCGGCTGCTGCGATACAAAACCTTGGATTCATATAACACTGGGAATGCTACTGATGTTTCTCTGTAGTTAGAAAGTTGATAGTATTGGCAAAGAAAAAACCTTAAACACACATGGGGGAATTCAATAAGAATCAATTGTGCATTCTTTTGTTAAAATTAACATTCTGAGATATGAAGTCAAATTGCAAGAGACAATTGCAAGATGTAGTTACACTATGATTCACAATTAGGAGAAAACAAATTATTCTTTTGATATGTAAAGTCATATTGAGATTTTGTGCATTAGTTTGATAAAATATGACGATCTCAGATATGAAGTGAAATACAAAAAAAAAAGTTGCACTATGATTTATAGGTGCAATTACTTGAAAAATGAACCATTGTGAGTCACTTTGGTTTGTTGAAATCACATTTTAAGATATTAAGTCAAATTACAAGAAATAAAGTTACAGTTGTAAGAAATAAAGTTACATTATGATTTATAGTTACAATTCCATGAAAAAAAAGCATTGTGAGATATAAAGTCATATTGAGTTTTTACTCATTGGTTTGTTATAAAAACACATTCTGAGATATGAAGTCAAATTACAAGAAACAAAGTCACAATTGGACCCTATTTTAACGATCTAAGTGCATGGTCTGAAGCGCATGGCACAGTTGCAAGCCAGGCGCATGGTCCAAAAGGGTTGTACCTATTCTCTTAATGAGTCATGGGTGTGTTTTGGGCGTAACGTGCAATAAACCAATCAGAATCTCATCTCCCATTCCCTTTAAAAGCCTGTTGCATTCGCGCCATGGCAAATTCACTATTTACATGGCGGAATTTGACTGAAGACTGAGCGCTTCTCCAGAGAGGAAACGGATCTGCCCGTGTGCAAGGTTAAAGCGTACACAATAATAATCTTTTACATTGTAATCCTTTCATTTTTAATATTTGGCATGTTTGTGTGCTGCTGTGCATCCCTGTGTGTGTAATAAGCAGAGTGTACGCAGGTTGTGCACCCACCTATAGGCGCATATTACTAACTCACCCTTTAAATAAATAAAAAAAATGCTGCGCCTTTGACTTCAGACCAGGTTTTATTTGGTCAGTGGTGCAATCGTTTTCAGCTGCCTCAAAATAACAACTTTCCAGCAATGCACCTCAACACACCTTGTTTTCAGACCAGCACGCCCATGGGCAAACAAATGGGCACAAGTGTATTTGCCATTTAAACTAGGTGGCGCTGGACATGAAAATTATAACTGCATCGGGCTGAAACTAGCAAAAAACACTGATAGAGCCCATAAAGTTACATTGTGATTTATAGTCGCAATTACATGAAAAAGATAATAAAATCACTATTGTGAGAATAAAAAGACACATTGCGATTTCACACACTGGTTTGTTAATCACATTTTGAGATATTAAGTCAAATTACAAGAATACAATTCTAAATTGTTAAATATATAGTCTGATTGAGATTGAAAAGTTACAAGTAAGAAAAAAATAATTCACAATTGTGAATTTTGGGAAGGCACATTGAGATAATGATTAGTAGAATTAATATTGCAATTACCTTATTTATTTAGTTACATATTTATTTATTTAGCAGCTAGAAGAATCGGACATCCGTATAATGAAATGCTACTAAACGAATCAAATCAAGAGACTCATTTTCAGTTGAATGTCCCATAATGCTTTGCATTATACATATTTGTTGTGTTGAATACACCTGTAAACATACCCTTCGCAATGGCCAACAGTCAGGATCGCAGAGCGCCTCTTCACGTTGTGGTTCACACTCTGTGTTCAATTTGATAGATATCTGGCCAGGGTGAAAAATATTTGTCTGGCTGAAATATGACACAGCTTTTTATGACATGACATAAGACTCTCTTCATGGGTCATTTCAGGTGGCGATGAAGACTTTATTAACAGGAGAATCTTCTCTCCAGCTTGTTCACTTTCTTTTTTATTTATTTTGACAAATCCCTCAAGCTTGGCAAGCAGAAACACTTTCAAACAGAATCAGCCGCTAGAAAAAGAAAAGCAGATAAATAGAAGAATAGAAAAAAAAGTAGAATATAAATTAAATGAACCCTTTCAGGCACAGTGGTCTGTGAGAAATCACCTATTTTTTATCTTTAGAGTTTAAAGTAGGAATCTTTCCATTTTGTGAAATTTTGTTTCTCTAAAGTTGGGCACACACAGCCTCTTTGAGCTTCTGAAAAATAAAATAAAATAAAATAGTTAAACTATTTCTGTATGTGTTATTTACAAAAAAAATGGTTGAACAATCAGAATTGATTTAGACAATGTTGCATTTTTTATGAGAAATTAGGTGGTTTTGTATAACAACCACTGTGGATATACAAGAAATACCAAATCAATTTACAAAATGGTGGTAAGTATTCTGTGTTTGATCAAAATTAGCATAGTCAAACAACTCTGATTTGTATGCCACACACATTTGAAAGATACTTCAGTCAGTGCACAAAATATAGCAAATGTAGTGTTTTAGACTAAGAAACCACTTCAAAAATGCCTGCATAATCAAATCCAACATCATGGATTTTAGTTTGACGGCTTGCTCCCCATTCAACGCCATACAATTGAATGTTTGAAAGAAATTCAGTGACTGTGTCTGAAAGGGTAGTTGCAATATAGCAGAAAAGAGATTATGGTGGCATGAGAGCATAATCTCTGCAGGTTCAGAATAACACAGTCGTGCAGTTTTATTATACTGATAGTGGCTTCTAGATTTACACTAACTCCAGATCAAATCTTCTGTGCCAATAAAACAGCGTTCGGACTGACAGGTTGAACGATGGCGGTCTCTTTCATAACCACTCCTTGCATTTAGTGTCTCCGTGTAGTGTTTATTCACTGCTCTGTGTTATAATGGAGGTCCACTCTTATAGTCACTGCCAACCATTACTGTCACAACAGGCCGAAGAAGAAGGTAATAATAGTGCGAGTAATAAAAGCGAGACTTTATGAGCTTTCTGCTCATATTCAGAATATGCAGTGCCTAAGTGCACACATGCACACAAATACACACATACTCTGTGTGCAAAGCGAATTGGGGCAATGCATGAGTGTGATTGATGATTTTATGATAATAAACTTTATGCATAATGGAAAATGTAGACAAGAAATTTAAATATTGCTGTTTGTTGTTAAGTTTGTGTTGCGATTGGATATTTTATGCAATTTACATGTTAAATACACCTTATAATTTTTGGAATTCACTTTGTCCATATCGCCCCAAGCATTTTTCTATTCTGAGTTCAACATTGGAAATGATTGGGTGTATTTGCCATGCAGGCTAAGTCCTTAGGGGAGATGAAGCGATAGCTACATGCAGCGATGCTCTGAGACAGCATGCGGCGCCAATGATAGCACTGACTTCCTCACACCTGGCAGTGAAAGCTTTCTAGAGATTTCTGGCTGAAATTAGAAAAGACTATATGTTCAGTTCCTGCAGCTCAAACAAATGCTGACTATCCAGCTTACAAAATGTTGATTTTAAATTCAGAATATATATTTTTTTTCTTTTTTAACTTGACATTACTACTAGTGGGACAACTATGTATGCATGTATGTATGTATTTATTTATTTATTTATTCATTTATTTATTTATAATTAAGTATATATACTGTATA